TTATATAGAATTATCTATATTAAGCATATTAAATTCTTAAATATTCTTTGGTAATAGTGCTTCATATAAAAAGTTTAATAGGTTTCTGAACATACCTGAGGAGGGTATTCAGCGGGTGACGAGTTATCAAAGGCATTTTGAGATCCAGGTGCCGCGTGCATGTCCAATAATATACCGATTCCGTGCTTAGCGCCCCATTCGAAAGCCTTATCAATATATGCCAGACCACCGGTTATGTAGTTGGTGGGTGTGACGTGCCAGTTCAGTTTGGCTTTGCTAGCGCCACCTTGCGGGTCATAAATCTGAAAAGGGATAACATAATATTAGCTATATAAATTATATAAAATATGGCTATAGCTTTATTGTACTATATAAGGTTATATTTTTATGATAAGTGTAGCACTATTCAGTTATTAGGTAATAGATATAGTTAATAAGTTTTTTAGCTATATTAAAAGGAGTGAGAACTAATTAAATGGTCTGTTCATTTTTACCATTATAATATATTATATTATATAAAACAACTATATACTGTAACCCTATAAGCCTATTTAAAGTACATTAATTTACTAACAAGTAATTAATAAATAAATAAGTTTCCCAAAAATATTTTATAATTAATGTAGACAATTTATTAATTTTAATGATATATTACCTGCCACCAACCAACTGGGAAGCGAACCACATTAACACCGTGTTTGGACATTTCAGCAAAGTCATTTTCAGTGATAAACGATGACCAATGTTTCTCCATAACAGCAGGTGCTCGACTACCCAGGCACTGTTCAAGCAAATAACTACCTTGTTTGGTGTTTCTGTCGCACCCGTTACTGTCCCAGACATTGCCGGCCATCCATGCCTCCAACACTAACCAACTGCCAATATTGGGCCCAACTACTTTTGTTTTACCTGATTTCACATTAGCCAACCTATCCTTCTCGCACTGGCTTTGCGCAGAGATCTGACAAAACACGGCAAACAGTAAAACACTTTTCAATATAAGCGAAAACATTTTGAGACAAAATTAATAATATGCTACTATTATTAATTATAAACTCAACTATTAACACATAATTGATATTAGGTTTGGGTTTATATATACCTATAGAGAAAAACATGATATCGAAAAGCACTTGAAGTTATCTTATTATATTTGTCTAGAATGTACCAGGATTCAATTGCTCACTAAAAAACATCCTAGTTTCAAGCACTACTATATATCGCGATTAACCTACTTATTACATAACCTACTTTTAAAATGTTTGTATTTTAACCTTTCACATTATGGTATATCTGATGTTGCAAAATAAACTCAACATTTTTATTTTTGTGTACCGAAAGATTAGTGTACTAGTACACAACAGGTAGACTTATCTCCCATATTTAATAATAGAGTTTACAATTTAAAAATTATATAGAGTTAGGGACTCGTTTTACAGCATTATGTAACCAGTACATTTTTCTAAAAATGTACTGAAATATTATTTCCATATAATTTTACCTCAAATTAAACTTTTGATTATAAAAGATTACCGGGATAACATTTCGCATGCATTTTGTTCACACCTCCTAAATAAAAAAAGTCAACCTTACCACAATCAGATTAAACATTTATGATTGTTAAACATTAAAGATTATTATAGATCATTCATTCTCATAGTATAACACAGGGTGTCATTTGCCTATGTTTTAACATTAGTAAATGACACTATTTGTCACTTTTGAGACTCAATGTTATAGATTATTAAAGATTATTGAACATTAAAGATTGAACAATTATAGAACTAGTTTCAATGCATGTTTGTACTACAGTTAATATTTAGTTTAACTTGTTAGTTTAAAAAATTAATCACTAACGCCTTTCTACTTACTAGGAAATCCTGTGAATTTATATTACCGGTGCTGACAATTCATTGAGCATATTTGTCGGTTAGTGAGAAATACCGGTGCTGTGCTTTTCATTAAATAGTTATCAAATATATTATATGAGCTGGGGACAATCATAGTAACGTTAGATATTTTTATTAATACTTTAAAATGCAGTAATATTTTAACCTGATAAGTCATAGTACTACTCGTTTAGCTTAAACCTAT